AGGACTCTATAGGTTTCCGTAAGATATTAACAATTGCACAGCTGAAGAAGATGGTAAGCTGTCTCGTTCAATGGCATTACATAAGTGGCAAGGCATGTGGTCTCAAAGAAAGGCAACATTTTGCTAATTCCTGGTTCACATTTTTCGACAGTAACCCCACAGAGCTGTCATTTACAGTAAACTCTGCCATATCAAATCAGATGTTGCCACATGCTACAATGGACTTATTCAAATGCAGCCCCATTAGATTTCGTTCAAGTTATCAGAAAGAAAAAAAGGTCATTAAACTAGTGGGGTGGAAGTTATTAAATTTATTAGGAATTGATCAGGGTATATATTTACTTGCGGTGAATACCTTTTATTTTCACTCAAAGACCTCTTATAATACAGTGAAACCCTAACTGTCATAGAATAGAACAAACGATGATGCGCAAAGTTTTAACTAGAAAATTATTTTTGCACATTTTTTCCTCTCGCATTTCTCTCTGTTTTTACCTATTTGATTGAATAAATTAATCAAAATAAAAGAGAACAAATGAACAAAAAAAACAGAGTCAGAAGAAGAAAACAGGAGTGCTAAAAATCATTTTCCTTTTAACTGTAGTATAGTTGATAGTTAATATGTTTCTGCAAATATCATAAACCAAGTGACCCTACAAAGTTTTAAATATACGTACGTAAAGATTGAAGGCAGTGCAAATCATTCATACAAAAGAAAAAGAAAAGATAAAGGGCATTAAAAATCAACAGTGGTTATGACAATCAGGTCAAGAAACTGTCAAAAATGTTAGTCATTATCTCTCTGTTGTAAATTGGTACTTGACAACAAACCTGAGAAATTCAAAACCAGCTATATAAAGATTAAGACTTGCTTTCTTTGATATAGCAATATTGGTAACTATGTATCTATCGACATCTTTATTCATCCAGTTTCTTTATTTAAGGGATTGTGCTATCCACACAATCCCTTTTATTTTTTACACATCCTCTCAATTTTCAGTCGGATCGAATGAATTGAAGAGGATCAAGTGATAGAAGGGGGTGTATGAAAAGTAAAACGGAGTGCGTGAATAGCACCACCCTATTTAAACTACCAAATCAGATTATGCCACATGTTCATTTGATTTGCAAAAGACAACAATACCATCAGATTAAGTATATCACATCAAATGTTGTGTGGAGCAGATCACATTAGCTGTGATGCTCAATAAAAGCATCCAATCTATTTCAAGTTGGCAATTTTCAGATATTATAGCAAGTAATCTGCAAATATATATACAACTTTTTCCCAGCTGCATAAAGCTCAATATTCAGATCAATTCAGCTCAACATAGACAGAACATTCTTTCATAATATATATTGTGGTCTAATTAATGATGCAAATGGATTAAAAGAGAAAACCAATGGGGTTTGTAATTTGATTAACTAATTAATTTAATTAAGTAGATTGGTCAAATGAGTGGATTTATGGACCAGCATGAATGTAAACAAACCTTAACACAGATTCTTGAGAGAAAACCAAAATGATTTAGATGGGCCTGCAGCCTGCACATAAAACCAGTAGCTCTGTTCGATCATGATTGCATATTCTGCATGTTTTGTAATTTAAAATTTGGAAGGAGTACTGCTGATCATCCAGGGCCATCTGCTTGTCCCGAAGGGTAACCCACATTAGCATCTATTAAGGAACACCAAAACCAAAAACTTTTAATACCACCTAACCGTCGTTATATAGTACAAAAAAGGAATCAAAATATACAAAAGAATTGAAGATGCTTCCGAAACTCGAACGGAACCTATAGGCCAACCACAATATAATAAGGAATACCAAAACCCTAAACTCAATACCATTTAACCATATACCAAAATAAAAAATATAAGTACAACTTCATAATATATAACTCTTGTTCGGGCAAAGATTTCTCCGAAGAAGGCTCCTCGGCTCTCAACACAGCTCCCCAAGAGATTGGCACTTTGGAGGTGTAGTCGGGCTCTTGCTTGCTGATGTTCTACAAGAAGAGGATGTAGTTAGTTTTGAAAGGTGCCTTTGTCGGGCCTTAGGTGTAGGCCTTGAGGCTCGTAATCAAAACTAACCAAGTGCTAGGCGTGCCATTGCTATCTCAGTATAGCATACGTAGAACAAGATTGTATTTAGTAGATTACTTGCGCCCCAAGTTACTCGAACTTTTTGTTATCAAATGATTGTCGTGGATGGGTTAAGTGCACATTAAGTTCTTTTTCTTGCCTTGTGACCAAGGACTTTCAGTTTATAGTCTTGTATATTCGAATGAGGGGAGTCCAAATCCCTTAAGTCATTTGTTTGGTTCTTGATTGGTTTTAAATGAAAGCATATCCATTAAGCTGACCAGATCCAGATGCAAATGAGACTTTTAAAGTAGGAAAATAGATGAATATGACTTGAATACATGCTAGAGAATACATTAAGCAGTAGATTTATTATCTTAGAAAACACACAAAGAACTTTAAGCAAGATTTCACCTTGTTGGGTAAGGTTGAACTTCCTGCAATCACTTCTCTTTGAGTTTACAAAGGTTTCTATGCTAAAAAGGGTGGATGGTAAACCAGTTTACCCAAGGGAATCGATACTATATCACTAGGGGTGACAGCAGAGCTTTAAACTAGACAAAAGATAGCTTTTGTGAAAGAGATATCTTGAAAATGACTGAGATCTGGGCTGATTACAGCTTTAAGATGCAAATCTGGCTTGAGAGTAGAGTTTGTATGTTTGTTTGTTTGATTGGTTGAGTGTCCTTGTCTCTGGGGCCTCTTCCTCCTTTTATAGGCAGATTAGCTTGACTGTAGTGATTTCGCTCTTACCCAAAAGCACTTGGAGGGTAGTAAGTCATTAGCTTTTTACTTGTCTTGCCACTAAAAAGTGCTTTTTGGTTGATTGTGAGTTAGTCCCTATCACTTGATATTTAAATCATAGGCACATGGCCTATGCATTAATGGGAATGCACCAATTTGTATCTAGGCTTGATGCTTGGGCCTCGGGCAAGTCTCCCTTTAATTGGTATCTCTAGGCTTCCACACATTTGCAGTCCAATGTTTAAATATTAACTCAAACAACTCTTGTCGTGAATGCGATACTAGAACTCTTGCTGTTAATTCATAGATAAACATTACGTTGATCACTTAAGTCACAAGTCTTCACAACATGCACTAATAAGTAATCCAGGTACCCAAGAAAAACTTGCATAAGCAAACCCTAAGTAGGGTTTTGGATCAAAGAGACGAATGGAACACGTCTGAAACCTAGAGACTATACCCTAATGCCAACAAAGATTATAGGCCCAATAGGCAACAGTCAGCAAGAAGGATCGAGATCAGGAGGAGGGTAAGTTTAAAGATATTTTACTGGTTGGAGGACTTAAGGGATCCCGAAGTTCCCTTGCCAGCAACTAACAAATGGCAAAGGTGCAGAGCAAAAGGCAAAGGGCCAAAGGCAAAACGAAATGATTACTTGAATGAGACCGGGACCCATTTTATGTAATCTTTCTTTTTTCAAAGTCTCTAAAAAAAATTTTGACTTGGGGTTGGGTCCCACCTCGGCCACCATTGTCTTTATGGATTGAATGATAAAAGGAGCACCTCACGTGGAGAGTCTGAGCCAAAGGGGATGTCCAACCATAATAAAAAGGGGAACCCCTTCACCCTCCTCCTCTCCCCTTTCCCTCCTCATATCCTGAAAATTCCCCAAAAAATTGAAATTTAAAATCTAAATGTTATTTGATATTTGGCAATAGATGTTTTGATATTTTCCTCCACAGAATGAAAATTTTGGAAAGGAGTTTTAGACTTGTAGTGCAAGCAGCTCAAAACAGTTATTTTTTGTATCTGAAGTCTAGTGTTTGATCCTCGTTTTCCTCTTCTCCCTCTTGAAATTTTTCAAAATTAAATAAAAATCTAGATATTAATTTTTTTTATAGGATCTAGATTTTAATTGATTTGGTGTTTGATCGATATCATGAACATCTTGATATTTTCCTCTAAGGAATAGAAAAAAAAAACTAAAGATGGTTGTAACTGATAAGTGTTTAAGAATATTTATATTGTCATTTGCACCCTAAACTTTCTATAATTAGAAATAAAAATATATTTGTGAGGAGTGTATAATGAGATTTTTGAAATCCTAATAAACATTCTTTATTTATCCATGCATGTATTTGAAGTTCTATGCTTAATAATTAAATAAAAAGCTAAATATTCATTGATTTGATATATATTAGGTGTTTGATCATATGGATATTTGGATATTTTCCTCTAAGGAAAAGGAAAAAAAAATGAAAGATGCTTGTAATTGATCTAAGTGTTTAAGAATATTTATTTATGCATATGAAATACTGAGTTTGATTTTTGCCTCCTTTACCATCACTTGTGTAATTTATATTTTTATATATATTAAAAAACAATTACAATATAAAAGAAAGAAAGCTAGAAAAAGCTCAGCACAATAACAAAGCAATTTATTTCCTAAAAAAATTGCTTTTTAAAGCTCACCCATATAATAATATAATTCCCACTCATTATCTTTGTTGCTTAAAGCTTGCCTGCCCAGCTCTTTCTCCCTCCCTCCCTCCCTCCCTCCCTCCCTCCCTTATCTTCTCTCTCTCTCTCTGCAAAGGACCATTTTAGTCCATACTTCTTTCTCTCTCTAGCTACTCTCTAACAAAACATATCATCTAAATCAAAATTTCAGTTTTTTTTTTCGTACACAAATTCCAGCCAACCAACAACCAGAGAATTTTTATTTATTTATTTTCAGAAGGAAAAAAACAGATTTGTCCTGTAAAAATACTGTCACTAAGTGACTGAAGAGAGCTGAGAGCTGAGTTGAGCTGCTGCTGAGTGAGAGACCCACCAAAACCCAATTATACTAAACTAAGCCCTCTTTCTCTATCTCTGCACTCTCTCTCTCTCTCTTCCACACTCTCTCTACTCTTCTCACACAAAATCCTGCACAACCCGATCATAATTCTCTTTCCCATGCGATCATGGAAGGAGGTGATGATCATCAACTCCACCACCACCACCACCACTATCAACAACACCAACAACATCAACAACAACATCACCACCGTCCGAACTTCCCCTTCCAGTTGCTAGAGAAAAAAGAATTAGATCACCAAGAAGCCGCCTCCTGCTCCAACTCCACCTCCCCCTACCCTTCTCTAGCCATCACCACCGTCGACCCCACCACCACCAACAACACGGCCTCTACTGCCACAGCCACAACCACCTCAGCTCTCCAAGCTTCTTCCCCCGAGCCCTCCAAAAAGCCACCCCCCAAGCGGACCTCCACCAAGGACCGCCACACGAAAGTCGACGGCCGAGGCCGCCGCATTCGAATGCCGGCTCTATGCGCCGCCAGAGTCTTCCAGCTCACGCGCGAGCTAGGTCACAAGTCCGACGGAGAAACCATTGAGTGGCTTCTCCAGCAGGCCGAGCCCGCGGTGATCGCCGCCACCGGTACCGGCACAATCCCCGCCAACTTCACGTCACTTAACATCTCACTCCGCAGCTCCGGCTCCAGCATGTCGGTCCCCTCGCAGCTAAGATCCTCTTATTACAGCCCGAATTTCTCTCTCCAACAGAACCAGCGGCGGAGCCTCTTTCAGGGCATCGGCCTCTCATCTTCTGACAGCTCTTCGACTCTCCTAAACTTCCAAACAAACACCATGCACGCTTCCATGTTGCAAGCCAAGCAGGAGCTCCGGGATACTGTGTCTTTAGATCTATCGGAGGCGGCGTCGGCAGGGGAGGGGAGCTTGGGAGGGAGGAAGCGTCGGCCGCCGGAGCAGGACTTGAATCATATGGGAGGTGGCGGCGGTGGTGGTGGTGGAGGAGGGTACTTATTGCAGTCGAGCACTGGTGTGGTCCCGGCCAGCCACCCACACAGTCAGATTCCGGCTAATTTTTGGATGCTGGCTAACTCTAACAACCAAGTTATGAGCGGAGACCCTATTTGGACTTTTCCAGCTTCGGTCAACAACAGTGGACTGTATAGAGGAACGATGCCCGGTGGCTTACATTTTATGAATTTCCCCGCCCCAGTCACCGTGTTGCCTAATCAGCAACAATTGAGTGGCTCGGGCGGTGGTGGTGGTGGTAATGATGGCGATAACATGAGCGACGGGCAGTTGAATATGCTCGCTGGACTCAATCCGTACCGGCACATGTCCGGTACAGGTGTTTCAGACTCGCAGCAGGCAAGTGGCTCACACTCACACCACGGCGGGGGTGACGATCGGCACGATAGTACTAGTCACCACTCATAAAGCGGGCGAATGGCGGTCGGATTTTATCTTCATGGTCATCGTTGGTGGTCGTCATTTCTTCCCACATGTGTAGTAGTTTGCTGTGTAACAACACACGTGAGGTTTGATTGATTGCTCTTAAAATTCTGAGGTTTATTTTTATCTATTTATTCCCAATTTTTTTGTGTGATTAATATGATATGGCCGGGAGAAGAGAGGTTTTGTTAGGGTTTGAAGAAAAAAAAAAACAGACACTTATTTTTAACATGGGTTAATTATTTTGGCTGCTCTCTTATTTCTCTAATTTTGGCGATTAATCACAGTATACTATCATCATTGTTTGTGTGATCAATTCTCTCTTTTCTCTTCTTTTTATCTTCTACGAAAAGTATACTCATCGAAATTCTAGAATAAAACGACTCATACTATGAATCAAGTGATGAACGGCTGGACGAACAGCTTATACTGCTTCGTAATTTATGCATTTTTACGGTGTTGGTGAAAATGACTTATTTGCATGGTATATGGTAAGTCTCCTACCTAACTAACAATTGGATTCCCTCTTTTTTTCCTCTCACTTTCTCTCTCTAGATTCTCTCTCTAGGCCACCACTACCATGCTTGTGTCCATGTAAATGAGCAGCTTGTGAAAGGGATGAAACAGTAGCACTAGTAGTTTTACTGCAAAATGCAGGATTAAAAAAATTCACAGCCTTTTGATCATTCTGATTCTTCATCTCCCCTGCCATGAATCTCTAGGGTTTACTGCATCAATTATGTAAAATTTTCAGCCAAGGTGGGGAAGGGTAATAGGACGGTAGGGTCCACACCTTATCAGTTCCAGGTGTTGGCTCAGGTGGTGGGACCCGGATGCTGGTCATTGCCCAAACCGATATACAACGTCACTGACAAACAGGTGCATCATTCCTCATCTTTTTTTTCTTCGTTCTTTCTTCTTTTTAATGGTGCAGTTGCTGACACCATAGAGGGTATCGGTAGTGAGTTTTAAAATTATTTAATAACTCTACTGTGTCGTGGCCCACCATCTCATCAGTCAATCTGGACCCTTCATTTTTATGAAACTACCTTTTGATTGGGTACCGTTGAATGATTGGGTCTCCGACTCTCTCATTAATGGAGGGGAGATTTTTTCAATCTACAATACGTTACGTATCATTATAGAAAGAGTAAATTTTAGTAATAGTCTATCAACTTTAATCAAATTGGAGTAATGGTTCCTCAATTAAAAATCCATTACCATTGATCCCTCAACTTATCAAAATGTATAGCTATAATCATTTTCATCAATTTTGTCAAAATTTTGTCAAAATAAGTTATGTTGGAATAACCATTTATATAATTAGGGTCCCTTAATTCATCAAAGTGTGTAATTATGGTCATTTTCGTCAACTACGTCAAAATTTTTTTTCCAAACGAGTTATATTGGAATGACCATTGCTACAATTAGGTTAAAGTTAAGGGACCATTTCTCCAGTTGAATTAAAGTTGAGGGACCAATGGTAATGAATTTTTAGTTGAGGAACCATAGCTGCACATTTTGATGAGTTGATGGACCAATGGTAATGGATTTTTAGTTGAGGGATCATTGCTCCAATTGAGTTAAGATTTATGGACCATAGCTACAATTTACTCTTATATAAATGTAGGGAAGTGTTTTGTTTTTTCAAGTGTCTCACCATTTGTAAAGAGACATATGACGTACATATTGAAAAATCTCTCCAATAGCGAGTAGGGTTTTTTTCAAGAATTTTCTAGTTAGCAAACCATGCATAAATTTATAAATTGCTATTGCAATTCAAACACCTCTTTTTATTTCCTAATTACTTTTGTTAATTCTTATCTATTGATCTTTTTGAATTCATTCGATCTGACGATTGAAAATTGAGAGAAGTGCGTGAAGTAAAAATGAGTATGTGGATAGCACTACTCCGTTTCCTTTCTTTTTATAGGAGTAGAAAAATTATTTGTGCTTTAAAAACTTCAAGAACAAAATAACACAAGGATTGTACACTTTGCACCAATTGGATTCCACACATTTAATATTGATACCCACATATATATATACCTAAAGATTATATTCTTAATCACACAAGGGACGATTGCCAATTACATTTGCCAGAGGGCACATGACATAATCAATCTTAGTAATGTCCTATCCTACATGACTTAATGGTGGTTTGGTTGTGGTTGGCGGGGTTCGTTTAATTTGTAAAACGAATTCATGAAAACTTTATTATAATTCAGCGTATGACATGCATAAGAGTACTTGATAATTGGATGTGCAATTAAAAATAAAATAAATAAAAATTCAACCGTCATAGACTTCGGTGTATAGACTAGTGCATACTAGAAAATCATTCCTTTTCTTTGATAGTAGTCAAAATGCGATCGAGTGACTCGTTCTTGAGACAAACAGTTTAACTGGATGAAACTTGAAGGCAAGATAAAGGTTCTAGCTAGGATTTATGAAAATTGAGAATTAATACACACTTGATTAAGTTTTTATGGGCTCCCTGGTCTGCATAATTTTGGAGTCTTGGATTAATTGGGATCAATGCAACTCTTGGTAGTGCTCTAGTTAATTGCTGGCCATCGATCGCTGTTCTTATATATTCTTAGTGATCCTTTGATGAATAAAGTACACACAAAAAACAAGTGTAAAGTGATTATTTGTTGTTATCGTGTATTAAATATGCAGATTTATCAAATATAAAAGTCTAATCTCACTAGGTGTACACACGTAACAGATTAAACATTTTTATAATATTCCATATCGAATAAATATCATGTTCATAAGATTTAGCCAAGTTATAATTGAGATTGTCTTTGGTTTGGAACAAAAGGATATTGTAGTAGATCATCGTTGGAAGATGTAATGTACACATCAAAACTAACAAAATCACCTTTAATCAAGTGAATATATTAAACAGAAAAAAAAGATGTTAGTGAAAAAAATCAATGGTGCAATATATTGTTAAGTTCAATGACTAAAGAAACTAAAATGAGAGTTCATATAATAAATTTAAACTAGGGCTAAAGTTCAAGGATCATTACTATAATTTGACCAAATGGTGCATCAACATTCACTTATTCATGACATTCAAACCCTTGTGCATAAGTTGCAAGCTAACATATTTATGGAGAATCGAATTTCAGTCATGACTAGTTCTTATTACACGTTATTGGTTTGTTAATATTCTTTAGCATTTCTTCGAAACTTTTGTATGAGTAAAGGAAGTTAAAGATCCTAAGAGGATCATCGTTGTAATATAATTTCAGTTAAAAAGTACGTTTAATTTACAGCAAACACACATTTAAGAGATATCCTGATATATATTTGTTGGACGTTGTTCGTTGTCATGACTGATGATCATGACAAGTACTGTGATTTGGCATGTACTATCTTTAATGTTGTTGTGTGAGAAATCTGTGTCAAACCCATCATCGCAAAATATAACTTGGTCTGGGTCGTACACATATTGTGCACATGGTTTTGAACCCTGTCGACGACACAGCCGATGGTCCCATGCATGCAACCAGCAAATGAACATCTCGATAGATCCTATGCCAGAAGTAGCATGATTAGACCATCTAAACTTATTTAGCCGTGCATGAAATCTTCCTGAGTGAACCAACAAACCTGCCTCCATCTGGGAATTAAATCAAAATCTTATTAATATTCTACTAATTTGGCCCATAAAATCACTTCTAATCCCGTTTGCTGTGATTGATTATTAGGGCCCAGAAAATCTTATAATCCCAGCTCCACGTAGGGAGTTAACTTTTTTCTTCCTTTTTTTTATTTTTTTAATGGAAATAGATGGAGTGGCATGTCACATGTGCCTGCCTAGCTAACTACTGGCTTTTAGCTTAAGGATTGTTTGTTGGGCAGCAAGAAAATTGGATCAAATGACCCACCACCACATCCACATCCACCCTTAAATGTCATGCTTTTTTGCGATAGTACGACCTAGAACTCTCCACTTCGGTAGAGCAACATCTTGGGTGTAATTGTTTTACTATTTCTCTCGTTATGTGATCATTATTTGACAAATCACATGATAATGAAGGTATATTGGATGACTAGTTCATGACTAGTTTAGATACATTAATGAATTAATGTTATTACGGAAATGTTTAAAAAACACACACACACCTAATTTGATCGACCTCTCCAACTAAATTATTCTTCTATAAGTATCATTGGTTAATTCATCTAACTACTATATAGGTAGTGCAGCCTAGCACACATTTGAATTAGACCCAATTTTTGGGGAGAAATGATTTTAACTCCTCTTTTTCCCTCATACACTCCTGTCATATATGTTAGTTGATAACTGCTTTTTATTTTTTCAATCCAAAGGTTAACCACCTTTGAATTATAGATTATGGATTTAGGGTCCGACATTAAGGGGAATCCAGCATACAACAGGATACTCTCACTATCTCTTACATTACGTGCCCTTATGTGGTGTGAGAGAAAAAGAGGAGATATCATCGACATGAACAAGAATCTCCTCCAAGATTGGGCATAACAAATTGGTGACAATAGTAGTTGTCAAAAGTTGTTTCATGTATACTCAATCACAATGAGTTTGTTTGTATTAGAAGTGAGTTTTCTGCACAACTATTTTCCTCTTCTGCACTTTTATTTACTTTTATCATTTGATTCTCTTATTATAATTTAATCCAAATGTTTTTTTTTTAAAAGAAGACGTGGAGAAGGAGATGACCATGGTAGTTGTTTGAGTTTATATTTGACAATGAGCTTTGTAATAATGAAGGCCCAAAGATGCAAAAACAAATAGAAGACTGGGCTTGGGCAAGTCAATGGACCTGAGATGAATTGGAAGTTATTTCAGCTGAGGCATAGGCCACATGTCTATAATTGAAGTGATGGGCAACAAAGAACACCTCACCACCAGTCAATAAGCACTTTTTAAGGGCATGGATGAGTAAATAGGTGATGACTCACTGCACTCCGAAAGACATCAGCTAAAGGCAAAGCTTAGACAGTCAGGCCAAATTGTTTATAAAAGTAGAGAGGGACACCAGAGACAATGACACTCAACCAATCAATCAAAAGACATACCACTTTGCTCTCAAGCAAGCAAGAAACTAGAAAGCTGAACTTTGTCCATATCCTGTCATTTTTAGCTATAGTTCCCTTATAGAAAGCCATCTTTTGTCTAGATTAGAAGTTCTGCTACCTTCACCTAATGTTGTAGTATCGATTCCCTCTTATGGAACCCTTTTAATTTTCATCCTCCAGAGTATACAAACCCCATGTAAACTTAAAGAGAAGTAGCTGCAAGA